CTCTCAGGAACTGTAGCTAAGATTCGCTCAGCGAAGTTGCAGTATAAACCGCAGTTGGCATCTGTTTGTTGAACAAACACAAGTGTGCCTGAGCAGGTGTCTGCGATAGGGATTAGCTAGCCTCCATAACAGACGAGTATGCTCGAAAGACTAGTGTATCTAGCTCTTAAATATAACATATAATAATTTCAATAGCTTTATCGAACATCTGACCCTAGCAAACGGTTTGACGCAAAACTCTGCAGTCGGTCAAGGAGATAAGTCCATTAAACATTTATAAATTTAGTTATCTACTAAGCACTTTTTGGTAGAAGTTCCACAGGCTTCAACATTACGTTACATTTTGGTAATCCTTACATCTTATATATTTTTTTGAATTTATATTGTGTATGACAGAGATAGACCTCTCTTTGTATATGTATATTTATGCCTATATGTATGTTCTCTGAGAAAGATATATTGAGTCACGGTTTTAGAGCTTGAATATCTGCATACATTTTTAGCGTATGTAACATTCATAATCTATACTTGCACATGCAAACTTAGTGACAAATGCATATGCATGATGTCATTTTTAATGGCATATTAAATGTCGTTAAATTCTTTCTTTATCGCTTCTTTTCCTTAATAGAGTTCACATGTGTGAAGCAAGACATCTAACATACTCGTAATTCAAGGAATACAAAAAATGCTTGCCCAATTTTATCACACTTGTAATACTTGCAAAGATTAATTATTTGTGCACAGCTACACGTGAATAAAGCTCATCCCGTAGAGTTATAGTTTTGAAGTCATTCTCTGAGGCCATTGCAAATGTAATGCCCTCTACCACCACTGGATTCCTTGTGTGAAACTAATGCTTATTAACTAACGTCACTGAACATTCAACCTTATGGTTCGATGCCAGACAAAGCTTAAAACATGCATGTTTTACATGCATCAGTACATATGTTATTCAACGAATTATTCAGATGAGTATCTTTGTTTTTGTTGATTTCATTACAAAGTTCTATCCGGTGACGAGCGGAGACATTAGGACGAAATGATATATGGTAAGAATGACAGCTAGTGTTTCTTAACATCTGTGCATGTCAAGGTCAGAGGTTATACCATTCGGTAACCAGGATTCGAATACTTAAATTAGATGTGTTGAATGCTGCAGTTAGTCAAGGAGAATGATTTTGAATATTAAATTCTTATAGTTAGAAGACTAAAAGCATTTCCGATATTTCTTGAATATTTTAATATTTAATTTTTGCTTCCAGTTTAAATCTATTCACTGTATACACTAGAGTATAGTGCGAGTTTTATGATCAGATTTTTACGCTAAAATAGGGGGTTGCACTATAGAGGAAAAGTTTTTCAGGATGGGTTAAAGTTCATGCTCCAAAATTCAGGTGTTGCACTGCACACAAAATCAATCAGCTAATACACGAGTATATACGGTATTTATTTTAAATTGGTAGTTTTTTCCTTACGATTTGATAAGTTTACATCAGTTTCGTATTTACTCTTCTGATTTAAGACAAGTCCTATCGAAGGATGTGCCGTGTGGTAAAATAGATAACGGCTCAGAGATTCGAGTTCGAATTACATTCGGCTTCGTTCTATTCATATACGCGCAAATACTCTTGGGAAAGGTATGAATCCATCTCGTCTCTCCAACCCCCAACTATTGGTTGAATAGCAGGACAAAATGGGTCCTATAGCTTTGGATGGTAGCCAGTCTATCGCAGAAAGAAATGATAGCTTACTGCAGAAAATTTTCTGCCTAGTCAGTCATGAATCGAAAGAGACATGATCGCCCAAGTGTCTATCAGGGATGGCACTTAACTGTCTGACTATGAAAAAGCAAAAGTTTCATAGTAATCATGGCAGCTATTAGATGTGATTAAATATACTGTAATGTTTAAAAAATATTCAGTATTATTATTGTTCAGGTAATAAGCATTGTAACATAGTACAAAAAACTATATTGTGGAAAAAGGAATTTTTGAAAATATACGCATTTTTTAGTGTATTTATGGCTATTTTTTAACTTTTATCCAAAACGACATTCTTGTACACGTAATTATGGATAATACTATACATTAATTACTATTTTTTAATTAATAACTATTCGTATTCAGTTGTTGACATTAATAACTATCTGCTGTTGTTAAAATTTTAGAATAAAGTAATAATAAAAATTTAAATTTCATCTCTCTGATAGATGTCGTAATCTATAAATCTAAACGACGATTTGGTGGGAAGATATCCAAGCTAATACGAAATTTTTTTTGCGACGTTGCAGACTAGTATTTTAGTTGGAAAGACATGTGACATTGTGGTGATGCTACTGTAACGTTACAATCGACTATCTTCGCGAGCCACACGTAATGACTACTCCTCTTCGACGTTGCCACAACATTATTGTAACGTTGCGAAATGCTGCAGCCGAGAAAAGCCACAAGGTTAATTATAACAAACGTTTCTTCACTTAACTATCTAAAACAAAAAACTGAGAATCACTAATTTAGATAATGAATGGGCATTCGACAATCATCCTGGAATTTATTATCAAATTTTCTGGGAATGTAATTCTACAAATTAACGTATTTACAGCATTAACTAGTAACGTTTTAGGCACGTTGTGAAGAGTCTACAAAGAAAGGTTTTTGTATTGTCTATGTATAGTTGCAGAACATCATTTTGTTAGCTGGTTTAATAGGTCTATGTACCCACACACACACACGCACGTATGTGCAAGATCTAATATAATGAGGGTGCTTCTTAAAACAGGCTTTTAGGTAATCAATATCTCACTTACACAGGTAGGAAATTAAGGAAAATTGTGCACAATGTACTACCCAAATATTCTGGGTACATAAGGCGCTAAATGAGTTTCAAAGAAAGAAGAAATGGTAGAAAATGGGTGGTTTTCAGAAATGTATGAAAATTGTTTAAAGAACGTGTGTTTTCTCTTGTCTTCTTTACCCTTGTAATATCTTAGTAACATACTAAAAACACATCAGGACCCTGGAAAGATTCCACCAATGATGCTTATGTGCCATCCTCAAAATTCATTGGATGTCAAAGAAACCGAACATTGATATTTTGGTGTTGTCTGGTATGCCCAGCATTGAAACAAATCCAAAACCTCAAGCTTACGTTGGCTGTGTCATTTGATCAGAAAGGCTGATTAGGGGATACCAAAACAACTATTGTAAAAGCAAATGAAAGGTTTGAGAAGACCACAACAGGAACAAAAAGTGCGTTTTAGATGTTGAATAGACAAGATACTGATTGATTAATATGAAAGAATGATGTTTACGATAGCGCGAGACTCCTTGAAGAAAGCACGCTTAGGAAAAAGAGCTGCATATAGCGACTCTGCCGATGGACGATGCATTTCTAATGTGTATTGACTTGCCGTGTCTGCATTTCTCAAACTTGCCTGACTCTTACAGCCTTTTTGGTTATATATTTGTTTTTTTTATACTTCCTTTCATCTCTTTAAGGTAACTTTATTGCATTATCCATGTTCTTTTCCCCTTGTTTGTTAGTTATTTATAAATGTCTTTATATGTCTGTTACACATATTCTAACAGCTATTTAGGAATCTATATAATGTTTATTTTAAAATCTATATTCGACTGGTGTGTATATATATATATATATATATATATATATATATATATATATATAAACAACCCCGGATGGTACAATCTGCCAATAAAAAATATATTTAAACAAACTGGTATCTGGTAAAAAATGGTAAAAAAAAAAAGAAAATACTAAAACCATCCGAGTTGGTCGAAAAATCGCCAAAAGAAAAAAACAAAACAAAAATCAATCGAGTAAAATGAGAAATGACATAAAGTGGTCAATATACGGATTTTCAGGGCAAACTAGCTATATATATATATATATATATATCTACAGACAGACTGTTTCGCTATATCACAGCTCATCAGTGTGACCAGACGTCCGGTTGCATCTAGCTAGGATGGAAACCCGACTGAATTGGCGTCAGTCAGAGATTCTACCACTAAGCCGTTGGCGCACGGCGGGGATGAAGGTGAATTTAAGCGTATTTATTTTTGGATAAACAAACAGTGACTGAGAGAACTCTATTCGATTTATCGAAGAATCTTTCATTATTAGCCGTAATAGGCATTATATATATATATATAATGTTGTCGACTCTGTAATCGAGCATGATTATTTTAACATATATCAATAAAGACGATTCACACTGATATACTAAATCATATGTGTATCATAAAAATACATTTATTTAAATTACTATGTCTTTGATTATAATAAATTACTATGTATAAACTGAATTATTCAGCTATAAAATAAATATAAATTTTGTTATGGAGTAAACATCGAATAAGTTAAATTAAATGAAATATGTGCAAACAAGCTATAAATCTAAAACTACCCCTAACTTCTGCAAGGAATTTATATTCTTTTCTATAAAGACAGCACAAAACTCTTGATTGATTACTGGATTTTACAAGGATATTGCGAGATTTCACGTATCTAGTTAATGCAGGCATATTTCCACATACTTTAGGACAAATTTGGCGGGAGATATATGGAGAAATTAGTAGTGTGTAGGCGGTTAAAGCTTTTATTGTATGGCTATACTATGGCTGGATGTGTTTTCTCATATAATGGATAATGGCTGAGAAACATAAATCGCAGAGTCGAGTTCGAATTCCATTCAGGTCCTTTATATTCACTATGTGTAAAATGCTCTTGGGAAATGTATGAATCCATCACTTCTCCCTCCCAAGCTATGGATTAAATCTCAGAACAAATTGGATCATGAAGCCTTGGTTAGCAACCAGTCTATCGTAAAAAGAAACGGCAACCTACTGCGGGGAAAAAACATTCTGCCTAGTCAGTCATGATCCGAAAAGACATGATCGCCCAAGCGTGTATCCCGTAATGCATTTAACTGACATGATATACAACAGGCTTTTAGATAATCAATATCTCACTTAGACATGTACGAAATAGAGGAAAGGTGCGTACAATGTACTACCCAAAAATTCTGGTTACATAAGGCGCGAAATGAGTTTCAAAGAAAGAAGAAATAGTAGAAATTGAGTGGTTTTGAAAAAGAGATCAAATATAACGAGTCTGATTCTTAAAACAGGCTTATATATAAGTTTTCGTGTGGCACGTTTCGTCCTTCAGGCCTTCATCGGATTAAACTTATGTTTACGTTGATGCGACTACGCATGCGCACGAAAGAGAGACGCAGAGAATTTTAATTTAAAGTTGATATTTTTATGTGTGATTTAGGTCGATAATCTAACAGATTTCATTTAGATTCTTTTTGTTTTTGTTTCCATCACTTTTGCTATTAAATATCCCATAATAGAAAAGTGACTCTTCCTGAAAGACTCAACTAATCAAAAATAGTGTTCGTAGGTAGAAAAATATATATCACAATTACAATTGAAAAAAAAAATATCTAAACTCAACATAAAATATATCACAACTATGTCTAAAACAATAAAACAACACAAAACGAAGCAATAAGCTAAAACTTGAAGGGAGAATTTACTTTATTACCTGTAATAATTGCCACAATGAATACATCGGGGAATTTTCAAAGAATTTAAATAAAAGATTATCTGAACACAAAAGGATGTTTTACAAAACAACACATTCGAATTCTTAAAGGGACCGTCGTCTCCAAGATTTAAACTTCCAAGTCTGAAACATGGACTGACTTTTCTTTTTCTACATTTTTCTTAAGCCTGTATGTAGGCGCATTCTTTTTCTTCACTTTCTTCCATATTGTGTCTCAGAATTAGAATTCTCTGACATTCATTCAATATTTGTTGTAGTTTTAGTTTTAGATTCTATTCAAGTTTCATTAGGATTCTAGCGCATATTTCTGCGTCTTTTTTGAGGTTAACCCTTGAACGAAAATTAACTCTTTAAACATATCCAGATTCGGTTCGTTTAATTCGAACCTTTCACACTCTTTGTTAACGATTCCAGCACATATTCTTTTTTCGTCAGATTCATACACTTCCAACAAGTACTGAATAACAAATTTTTCTCTCTAAAAATGTTAGTCAGAGTATTTACTGTTTCTTCAAAGCAAATTTTTTTTTTTTGGCAGTACAAAATTACAGTATTTTTCATGTGCTAGTTTGCTAACTTTCTCAACAAGTCTTGTTTTTTCTCGTCTTCCCAGTCACTGCGTTCTTCTCTGAAAATTTGCTCGTATCTTCTAAAATAAGCAGAAAAAGTAATTCCATCATATGAATTGTATGTGAATTTAGAGATAGCATTTACCACCGCATCAAGTATGAAAGAACTTTTGGAATTTTCCGTTTTCTTCCGTATTATTGTTGTTGTTTCTGGAGTTCCAACAACTGATGTTGTTGCTGTTGCCGTTGTTGTATTTTTAGCTCTTCGGCTAATAATTCTTCCATATTTAAAGAATATTGTTTTTTTTTTTCTTCTTTCCCCCAACTTTTTTTCCTTTTTTTGACACATACCAAAGAAAAAAAATTAAGCCAAAGTGGTTCTAATTTCTCGTCGTAACTGTTATCATTTGCGCCGAAGGAAAAAGTACTTTTTCCTACTCGTATGAGTTTCGATCCCTCGTCGCCACTGTTATAACTCGCTTCTAGCTGTTATAATATTATGTCTTGCTTAAGCTATTCGCCGCGACGTCATCAATTCATTCTCCTCGACTGACTCCAATGAACTTTTCCTGACTCATTTTTGAGTTCTTTATTTAAGGCGTCTTGTCTAGTTCATTTGTTTTACCGGGTTGTCTTATTTATTCCACAACAGTATATGTATCTACCTGTCTGTACATCTATCTATCTATCTATCTATCTATCTATCTATCTATCTATCTATGTCTAGTTCTGTAATCTATCTATATTTCTGCTTGTCTATCTATTTACTTGTTTATATGCATGTATGTCTGTATATCTGTATATCTATCTGTATGTCTGTATATATGGCTATATATATGTTGTGACATGGCCCTCAGTCTTAACTGCTGGAGCAGACGTATAATCGATTTAATGTGAGACGCTCTATCTTTGTGTTTCTTCACCTCTTCCTTCCCCCTTTTTTTTTATTTGGTTTACTACCTATATGGACTGAGTCTTGTTTCGGCGAAGAAAGGCCAGGAAAGAAATTTGAGGTCGCTTAACAACAAACAGAATGACCTCCTAAGAAAGTGAGTAGGAATCTGTCAACTACGCGCAGTGACATACATTATCAAATCATATTTTGGTATTTTAATTTTAGTTACCCCGATGGCCTCCGACGATAATAGTTCACGAGAAAAATAGACTCTCATCATGCGATCGTAAGGGATTAGAAATACACCCACAAGCCTATTCTATTACTTGTTGTGTAGGGGATAAGGAAAATTCGTCCCGAAGATCTTGGGTTTATTTGACTATTTAATGGTTAAAGCATAAAGGAATATTGTACCCAAACAGACATAAAGAAAACACCTTACTTTCATCTCGGATGCAATCCAATTAACCAAGGGGAAACGGAACAAAAACATTATTCCAGAATCTTATATTTCGTATTGCGGAAGGAAGAACAACCGACTTTTTGAACTTTCTACAGCAACTTTGTCATTATAAACATTCGAATTCCAAATTTCTGAAACACAAACATTTGAACGGACATCCAATATCAGTTAAGTGTTCTTTTATTAATTGTGCGACTGTCATTCCATACTTTTCCCACATTTTGTATTTTGTTATATAAAATTTATTTACAAATGTTAGTATTGAGTTTGTTGTCGATACCTGTTCATGTGTTCCTATCTGAGCGAACACACCTTTTTTTTTCCTCCTTTTTTAAATCTAGGATTCATACCTTTATATGTTGCGAATTCATGACAATGTATGTATATCTTTCTATCTATATGTGTCTGTCTGCATGTTTGTATATCTATCTATCTATCTCTATCTATCTATCTATATATATATATATATAAAATATCTATCTCTCTCTCTATATATATATATATATATATATATCTCTCTCTCTCTATATATATATATATATATATATATATATATATAATCTCTATCTCTCTCTCTCTATATATATATATATATATATATATATATATATATATATATATAATGACGTCATTAAAAAATGACTTTAAGACGATATCTACAAACTGCCAGGCATAACATCTGAACATTTAACATGTTATCGGATTTTATATATTAAAAAGTAATATTCTTCCTTTCTGATAAATCGTGTACCAAAGTGAAAGTTGAATCCCGCACTAATTCTTCATTTTCTTGTTTGTTTTTTCTTGGACCGGCTTTCGCGCGCTTGCTTTCGTTCACGTCTCCTCACCTACCCCACTACACTCATACTCCAACATAGTCGTTATGGGTATCATTTGCAAGAACCCCGGCGTTCTCTGCAGTAATTATTACCTTTTTAATTAATTTTTTACTGATGGCATATCTACTGCAAATATTTTTTCAAAACAATTAAAGAACAAACAACACCTTTTTTGTATGATGTCGTGTTATTTATTTCACAACTTTTTTGTAAAAGTCATTCAACTGATAATTAATGCTAATATTACGTTTACTATCAGTTCTAAACGACCATTTTGTTTGAACTAATTATCCTTTTGTTGGCTTTTTCATAAGCATTTACAAGAGTTTTGCATTATGGTTACTGCTAGACAGTTGTCAGCCTCGTCTTTCCGTCCTCACTAGTGTAGCAAGATGTGTATTGAATGGCATAGTTAAAAATACTTATGTAATTTACTAAGCTTAACACAATGTCACAGTACTGGAGTATCACTACACTAACAATTGAACTAAGTAACAAACTAGTAAACCATGGAGACGCGTTATCTTTGTATAATAAATAATCACCTTCCGTAGACACCACTGGGGATTATGGGGGGACCACAATTCTTAACACACTAGACAATGTTGTTGCGGTTTCTATAAAAAGTAGTTTTTTTTTTTAATTCATAGTTGTCCTTCTAGACTGGTTAGCAACCAAGACTAAAGTACCCAGTCTGTACTATTTAACCCATAGATGAGGTGACAAGAGATAAATTCCTACCTTTCCCGAGGGTATATGTGCATAAGGAAATATAACGAACTCGGCTTCACCGCCTGCACATTCCTGTGTATAATAAGAATAATACATTACCCTATACATAACCGGGGTGCCGATGACGCTATTTTTTTTCTTTCAAAAGCAAATCTTTAATTTTTACCCTGCATTTTCCCCACATTGTTTTTCATCGTACCTTCAACGACTTCGTCAATCTTCAAGCAATAAGGTTGTTTCAATCAGGTTATGTCTTCTGCTTCTTCATTTTATTTTGATAGTTTAATTAAATTGTCTTAGCGTTATATTTGATTTTTTTTTAATCATATCACGTGTTGTGATGTCATATTCTTATTTTTATTGTTAGATAGATACGGAAAGATACACAATGGTACCAATTCTATGCGTGTTTCTTAATATTTAAAATACAGTTCCATGTGTTAAATGATATTTGTCCATTGTATTTTTTTTTTACTGCTTCTTATATTGTTATCTGTTATATAATATTTTTGTGATTTTTGTAAGTAATGCTGGTTGGAGAAAGACTTTTATTGTAATATTGGTTAGTAATATTTTTATGGAGCTACACTCAGATAAAGAGCATGTTAGACACTATGATAATATTGTAGTTGTATGACCAATGTTTCGATTATGCTTATTATTAGTAGTAGCATTGTAGAGAAAACAACCTCATGAATTATTGGAATGGATTTTGGGAAGTTGTACTATATGTGAGACTAAAATTAGAAATTTTTAATTTGTTATATACATTATTGTACGTTTATTCTTTTATCAAGAGGTGTCTCTTTATTCATTTGTTTTGTCAGGATTTTTATTTTTACTGTTATGTTTTTATCGGTTTATTTTTAATTTGTTGGTCAATTACGTAATCTAAAAATCCATTGTTAATTGGTGCTTAATGTTGATGAGATTTTTTTTATAGAATATTGTGAGTAAAGAGGAAATTAGGTGGGATCTGTTAATTAATTATTTTCATAATTGCTTTTTGTATCTATAATGAGTCAGTATTACTATTAAGGAGACCTGCATTTAAATTAATTGCTTTTTGTTAGAATCAATGCAACATCCAGTAATAGAATTTTGCTATTGATAGTTATGTCGTAACTAAATTAAAGGAAAACATTATATTTGAAAGATTTTTAAAATTAATATTTTTACCCTGTATAATTAAGAATAATTATATAGATTTTTAATATCATTTATTTGTTTCTTTTACGGGGACATTGGTAGAAAGACTATGGACATCTCGGGAAGCTAGAATGTTATTGTTAGGCTTTTGAGCGTGTAAGATTTGTGGAAATCAGTTCGTATAGTTTATACTGTGTTTCTCTCTTATGATGTGGGTGAAGGGATACGTAAAAAAAGTTTTTATGAGCACGACGTTTTTTTGAAATAGTCGTATTAAGGCTTCTCTGACTTTAAAACTCTACTCCGAATGCATCTCAATTTCATTTATTCATTGTAATTAACTGCTGAAAAAATAAAATTGTTAGATTCATTTCATTTGGCGCCTCACTAGACTTTTCCATCTGCCACATCCGTGTAAAAGCAAAAATAATTTAAAAAAAAAATCATATGACAACGAATAGATAATTGACATGTACGGAACAAAGCATATTCAATAGAATTGATATTTACCAAGTATGGGACAAAACGAAGGGGTCGCGGAAAATTCTCATCTGCTAGTCTTAACATTGGATTTCGACAAGTTTTTTTTTTTTTTTTTACAAGGTTCCACCTGAAATAAGACAACGAAGAGAAACTAATTAAAAGGCTTAACACTTTTTTTTTTAACTTTCTGTTTAATATAACTGAATATCTCTGCAGATTCACGATACCTAAGTTGAACAATGAATTTTTAAAAATGGATAATCTTTCTTGAAGCTTTTATTTTAGTAATATTCTCAAATAACGTTTCAAAAAAGTATATTTTATTTTTTGAAAGATTTTTTTAATAAAGAGAACTATGTTGTGCTGAGCGATTTGTAAATATGGCTAAAACCAGCCGTTTTTACTAATTAAAAAGAAACTCATTCCAATCAATTTATATTCATTCTGAAATCCGGCAAATTATTTTGTTTATTGGAAATATTATATTCATCTATTAGCTTGAAATTAAAACTAAAATATAATCTTCAAGAAAGACTTTTCATTTTTTAAAAATTCAATTTTAAATTTAAACAATTTAAATCAGCATCCGATTTTCAAGAGAGAACATTTAAACAGTGGAATTATATTTCCTGAGCTCTTTCTTGAACCTTTCCATAATCTCAGTTATAGACAAAAATAACTTGTCTACTTTTCAGATATCGATAAGAAATGTGAAAGTTTCTTTTTGTTTTGTTTTTTTTAAATTGTTCTAACCTTATATCTTTTATCATAAAATTCATGCAGTTTAAATAAACAAATACGAGTTTCTAATGATAATTAACGCGTTTTTATCAGTTGATTTGCTCACGACAAAAGCATAAATATAATTATTGTTGTATTTGATAATATTGACTTGACGATGATGATAATGATATGATTAAGAGAGGAGAAAGACAAAGAAACCGAAATAAAATGATGATCATGATGGTGAGAATAAATCTTTTATATAATAATTTTTTATGATATTAATCGCTCAATTTAGTGTAATTTATGAACCTTTTATGTAAATTAATGTGATATATAAAAAAGCTTTCAGTGCATTTACTGTCCATTCACAAGTTTGAGCATACATTATATTTTTGTAATAAACTTATGTTTCACTTAATACAATGCCTCCATAAATATA